GAATCTTTATGACTTGAACAGCTAAATCCATGATGTTAAAAGTTTTGTATACTAAACGTCAGCATGGGGCAGAACTTTATAAAAAACAGAACAAATTCTAATGGTTTTCTGATAATTACTTAATGAGTTGTTACTCTTAATCAGATTTTAATGTATTATAAATGTTTCATTACCGAAAAAAGTAAAAATATGCGACAACTCTTGTCTGCCCGGACGATATAGCTGCTGTGGGCGTATGTTTTGTTGCCTGGCAACCTATCTTTATTTTATTAATCCCCCCAAAACGCCCCCAAAATAGGCAATTGTGTACCGTGAACAATTGTTCAACAAATGAACATATATCCAGCTCTTGAGTGAAGGCATATAGATTTTTTTTAAAAAATTTTCTTCTGTTAACCCTATCATTGCGTACCGGGTATTATAAAATGTCGTTAAAATTTGCGTACCCGGTGTTACCGTGTACTCAGTAAAGCCCTCGCTAAAATTAGTACTGTAAGTGCCATCTGTTGTATTTTCTATACACTAGAACATATTTCCACGTTTTTCAAAGCGGCAAACCGAAAAATGACGGAGTGCATAGTGACAACGTAGACGATGCACTCTCAAGTCGTGAATGACATCTTGCAGACCAACACGTGAAAAATTTTGAGGCGGGTGATACACATAATTCGTTTCCAGTTACTTGATAATGATAGTATTGAGGACAGTTATTGGGATTATGAAGTACGTTTGTAATTTGTTGCGCGACGTTCCGGCTATGGCTATGTCTCCCGGCATGATGAACAAACCCAATGTGAACACGATAGCCCTGTGTCTGCCGTAGATTCTGACATTTTCATGTGGACGTATGTTGTTGTCGCCCCTGTCTGTCCGTCCACAATTTGTTTGTGGACACTCTACAGAGGTCACAATTCTTATCCGATTTTGACGAAACTTGAAATATAGGTTTATCTCCAAAAGATCTCGGTTCCTTGCGATTTTGGCATGTATTGGATCGAAACTTCATGGATTATGGCCCCTGTTTGTACGAAAAATCACGTTTTTAGCTTGTGGACACTATAGAGGTCACAATTTTTATCCGATTTTGTTGAAACTTGAAATCTATGTTGATAATCCAAAGATCTTGGTTCCTTTCGCTTTTCGCCTATATCGTACCGTAACTTCCTGAATTATGGCCCCTGATTGTACGAAATATCGCGTTTTTAGCTTGTGGACCCTATAGAGGTCATAATTTTTATCCGATTTAAAAAAACATATTATTATATCACTGTTACACCCTAAGGATGGCTGACTTCAAAATCGGCCCAAAATTGACAGACAAAATGGCCGCCGTTCGCTCTCAAATAGCGTAAAAATATGGTATATCAAGGTTGTGGGCCCTACAGAGGTCACAATTTTTATCTGATTTTGTTGAAACTTGAAATGCATGTTTATAACCCAAAGATCTTTGTTCCTTTCGATATTCGCTAATATCGGACAATAACTTCCTGAATTATGGCCCCTGATTGCACGAAAAATCCCGTCTTTAGCTTGTGGACCCTATAGAAGTCATTTTTATCCGATTTAATAAAATGTATTATTATATCACCGTGACACCCTAAGGACGGCTGAGTTTGAATTTCGGGAAAATCAGCCTAAAATCGACAGACAAAATGGCCGCCGTTCGTTCTCAAATAGCGTAAAAATACAGTATATCAAGGTTGTGGAACCTATAGAGGTCACAATTTTTATCCAATTTTGTTGAAACTTGAAATTTAAGTTTATAATCCAAAGATATCGGTTCCTTTCGATATTCGCGCATATCGGACCGTAACTTCCTGAATTATGGCCCCTGATTGTACGAAAAACCGCGTTTTTAGCTTATGGACCCTACAGAGGTCATAATTTTTATCTGATTTAAAAAACCGTATTACTAGATCACCGTTACACCCGAAGGACGGCTGAGTTCGATTTTCATGAAAATCGGCCCAAAACTGACAGACAAAATGGCCGCCCCTTTTTTTTCAAATAGCCTAAAAAACATGGTATATCAAGGTTGTAGACCCTATAGAGGTAAATTTTTATCCGATTTTGTTGAAACTTGAAACTTGAAATGTAAGTTTATAACCCAAAGATCTTGGTTCCTTTCGATATTCGCGCATATTGGACCGTAACTTCCTGAATTATGACCCCTGATTGTACGAAAAATCGCGTTTTTAGCTTGTCGACCTGAAAGAGGTCATAATTTTTTTCCAATTTAATAAAAAAAAGTATTATTTCACCATTACACCCTAAGGACGGCTGAGTTCGAATTTCGTGAAAATCGGCCCAAAACTGACAGAGTAAATGGCCGCTGTTCGTTCTCAAATAGCATAAAAATATGGTATATTAAGGTTGTGGACCCTAATTTTTATCGGATTTTTTTAAAACTTGAAATGTGTGTTTTTAACCCAAAGATCTCGGTTCCTTTCGATATTTCAGCTTGTGGGCCCTATAGAGGTCATGATTTTTATCAGATTTAAAAAAACGTATTATTATATCACCGTTACACCCTAAGGACGGCTGAGTTCGAATTTTGTGAAAATCAGCCCAAAACTGACAGACAAAATGGCCGCCCCTTTTTCTCAAATAGCCTAAAAAATACGGTATATCAAGGTTGTGGATCCTATAGAGGTCACAATTTTTGTCTGATTTTGTTGAAACTTGAAATGTAAGTTTATAACACAAAAGATCTCGGTTCCTTTCGATATTTGCGCATATCGAATTATAATTTCCTGAATTATGGCCCTTGATTGTAGGAAAAATCACTTTCTTTTTACCTTGTTCTCTATCCATCTCTCGAAAATGTGGACGTATCCTGCCTGGCAGCTGCTGGTATTTATCTTTATCAAAATCCAGTGAAAAAACCAATATCTCATAATATAAGTATTTCATGGAGAAAAATTTGTTTTCGTGTTAGCTTTAGTGAGAAATGAGAAATCCAAAATGGCCGCCATGACATCACGTGACTACATTATTATGCAAATTTCCAAAATTCTATTTTTTCCTCTTAGCCCAACCTCATGCCCATCCCAACAGACAAAAAGATTTTTCATAAAAGCTTGCATAAGTACTGTTTGGCATTCAGTTCCAACTAGTGTTGAAAATCGGATCGAGATTTGTGATCCGAATACTTTTGTTTGCTATCCGAATACTATTCGTCGGATAATTCGGAAACGTGAAATTCTTGAACAAAATCACATCAAAAGTTCATATACTCATAATTTCTTACTTATTTCAATGTTTATGAGTGTCTGCGTATGCCGAGTATGAAATCTTATTTTCGATTTGCAAATTGTTTGAGCCACGAAGAAAAAAACGTGGCTACCTTTAGCCGCAATTATTAATACTATCCATGATATCCAAAAAAATCAACGAGGTGAATAAATTGGTGTATAACAACTCCTGTAATCCGCTACCCTCACCACTTATCATTTTTGCTCAATCAACACGAATGAAAAAAGTAAAATAAAAACAATTAACATTTATTCCACCAAGGTCGTTTGCCTCATTCTGATAATCTACTGCTATTGAACCTAGGTTCTATTAATACTCCTTGTATTGAACCAATCAGTAAGTGAGAATATACGTGACCTAGGTCGTTATGAATAAATTACATCGCGGGAAGTTTAAACAGTGTTAACTTGTATCCCGTAAACCCAAGAAGTAGCTTAAATCTAGCGTAAACCAGAGCGAGAAATGAATGAATATTTTTTTATTTAGACTGTTTTCGTTGCACTGCATTAATATTTTTATTAGTTACTATCGCTAAATAATACGCGTGATATTAACATTTATGCTCAAAGCTGCGTACGTGATCAATAGCATTGGGGAAAATTTCAAAGTAATCAGATGTAAAAATGGCTGAATATGAGCATCGGGAATGTCAGAATATTTTGTAACGGATAGTAAAATGATTCGGATAACCCTTATTTTGTATCCGTTAACGGATATATGAATAGTAGTTTCAACACTAGTTCCAACCCCCCTTTTTTCCTCAAAAAAGGGTCTAGCACAGGCAGTGGATTTACGTCTAACATTGAAAGGGTTAATCATACTTGATAGCTACTGATTTTAAAATGTATAACAACCAGGTTCACTAATTGTTACACAAATGTGAAAAGTGAAACATAATTAGCCTTAAAGTTGTATTTCATGAATTTACATCTACAGTTTTGATATGAAATGAAATATGGCATCACAAAACACACCAAAAATGACTTTAACAAAGTGTTGAAAAACCTTTCTTCCGCGAAACGTCAAAATTCGCAACTTTGAACCTCAATAATAATAAAAAAATTTCATTTGATTTTGAATCTAAAAGCTTTGAGAGGCTACCGTTAATATCCGATTGACTTTACATTTATACAGTGTTTAAGGCCATGAGACGAAGAAGCCTATTGATTTTCAGCGATTTCTGATAATTACTACCAGAGTTATGGCCCTTGATCGCTTTGAAAAATCTTGTGGACGCTCTAGAGGCTAAAGTTATTATCCGATGGACTTTAAATTTATAAACAGTGTTTAAGGTCATGAGACAAAGAACCATTTTGATTTTCACTGATTTCCGAATGAGTTAAATCTGATTTTAGTATATTGTAAATGTTTCATTAATGACAAAAGAAATAAAAATGTTACAATTATTGTTTATTATTATTATTAACATTGATGAAACCAGGAATGACCCCATTACAATTACATGCAGTTATTGATCTTTAGAACCATTTCCCATACTCCTTAATATCAGGTCACTCTCCTTAATTTCTAAATCACTCTTCTTATCGAAACTTACAGATCTTTTTTAGGGGAGCAATTCTTTTCAATTTGTTGATTGAGGGGAGCTTTTTTTTTGGCTCTCTTGAAATACAAACAACTGAGCGTGTGGATTTTGTTGCTTGGCAACTAATCTGTCCTGAGAAATGGTTCTGTTACAGTAAATGTTTGACTTGAGTAAAAAAATAGATGTATATTTATGGTTTCAGGTGATGTTGAAGAACAGGTTGTACATGTGATATTAGAATTGGCGTGTCCCGAAAGTCTTGATGATCATAGAACAGAAGCTGTTGCTGTAAGTAAATGTATTATGTAGAGTGCCAGGGACTGACGTTTGAAAAATTCAGTGGATCTAGAAATCGCTCGCATGGTCAAGTTTATGGAAACACTCTCTTCAGATACATATATATTCTATTTGAATATGAAAATACTTTGTTTATGGAGGTATCTTTATTCTAAGTGGGCTAGATGAGATTCGTAATCCGAATAATAAGATGGGTTACCGAAATGACAATCCCACTCAGTCTTGCATCAATCTACGGTACCAATGCTAAGTTTACATTGCTGACTTCTGGATATCTGTACCGGTACTAGATTTTCAATTCCTGGCTGAATATAGTAGGGTGCGCCACCATAAAAGTGTGTAATTGTACAACATTTGTACAAATAACAACCGGATGCCAATAACAACCCTCACCATGGTTTAGATTAAAGATTTTTTGGGTTGGGTTGTGTTCAATGTCTTAAAATGTAATGTAATATGTTGATCATGGTTACTTGTAGGTATTTTTCCTTCAATATGCTTCCATTTAGATTTCATGTGGCATACAGCAGAACATAACTTTACCAGTATCATATACACAATGTTTGGGATATATTGTGCTGTCACCCCTGTGTTAGAGTGGTTCACGGCTCAATAATTTGTCTTTAATAAAAACTGACATGCTAATCTGTCTGACTGCACCAAATGATGAGATTTTCTAGATTGAACAAATGTTGATCCCATGCAGGTGGCGTTGGAGATCGCAGCAAATATACGTCACAAATAGCTTTTAAACAAACTTGTATTAGTATATAAAGCCGAGTAAAAAATACACCCATTACAGCGATTTTACAGCGAACGTGAACAAAAATTTAGATTGCGCTCTTTGATTTAAATTTTATACGCCCACATGTAAATGTGATATAAAATAATTAATAGAATACAATATCAAAAAACCATTGTTGGATAAAACAATGTTTTTTTGACATTGTATTCTATTAATTATTTTATATCAATTGATCTGAATATGAAATGCATCATTTTGACATGGTCAAAATTGATCCCATCAAAGCGTCTTTATTTGGTTTGTGTTTCCTGTTTCTATTGATTGGAAGTTTCACATGGAAATGTGGACGTATATATTGCCATCGCCCATGTTCGTCCGTCCGTCGTCCAGAATTTGTTTTGAACGCTCTCACTCAAAACTTTTAATCTTATTGTTTTAAAATCGATATGTGGTTTACATAGTGAGATGAAGAAGCCTATTTAATTTAAAAGTTATGGCCCTTATTTCACTTTATTGAATCTTGTGAATGCTTTTACGCCAAAAGTTGTAAACCGATCTTTGTGAAATTTATGTGGGTCACTTTTTGGTATTGTGCACAAAAGTGTGACATTATTGCTAGAAAATAAATCTTCACTAATTTTGCTTAAATTTATCTGCATACAAATAAAAATATGTAACATTTTCATATTTTAGAACGAAAACATAATGTAAGGTCTGAGAATTAAAAAAAATCTGATTTTATGCCTCAATGTTTAGGGGTTGCGCATGTTACACAGGACACAAATAGTGACACAGGTTTGGTACAATTTTTGAAACTGTACACAATTTTTCATATGCTATATCAGAACTCAGTTCATCTGACCAAAAATATAACAGCATCCAGATTTTTTAGGCTTTTAAGACAAAAATACTTCAAAACTAAAAACTACAAACCTTATTGCGCGTACAGTGTTTAGTCACATTTTACCATGGCAATAACATTTAATCTCTATTTATCAATTCTAATGTTAAATAATAAGCCTTATAATGGACTCCAATGTTACTGGTTTTAATTCCAATTTGTCTTTCTTGGTTTCAAGAAAATGAATTGGTTGCGTATGTTACATTTTTATGATGGGACACCAAAATAGAAAAACACAAATTACATTTAACTTTTTCTTTATTATAGAAATAACAAATCCAGAAAAACTGGTGCCAATAATTCATTAAACAAATTTAAACAACTGAAACCGGTTACAACTTTTATTTTCCACAATTGCCGGGGATTTAGTTTTTTTGTTATGGAATGAACCATTTCCCAACTTTGATTCTCATTTGTTGGCCAACGATAAAAATCCCCCGACTGTTCCATATATTGGAGAAACACCTCATCCCCCTTGATTTCCAGGATCTGAAAAATATAATTATAAATTATAAATTGATGCTAGTATTGAACTCAAAAGGGAAGCTAGCTTAAATTGCATTGCCTGTCAACAGTCTTATAAAAGTAGCAATGTACTAAGTTTTATTGTTTCTAAATTATAGGCTAAAATAAGATATTTTTAAACAAAGTACCACAGACTACATCAAAATATTTTTAAACAAAGTACCACAAAATATACTAGATTTATTTTATATTAGTAATAGAACCCGAAAAAGTGATTTACCGACGTTACACGGAAGCCAAGCATTAAATGTGAAATTACTGAAATATCGTTCGACGTACTTCACACGGCTCTCGTACGGTGAACATACACAGTGAATTTCAGTAACCAAGATAATTATCTTCCATCATATCGTCTGTTTTTTCATAACATACATTGTTCTTTCAATTTATTACTTAGGCATTTTTTAATGTATACTCACAATTCTTACCGACGTTACAGCTTTCACACCGGGCGGGACACAACAAGACCAAAGATGAAACAAATTCCGTATGCAGTCATCACGTGATTCCAAGTAAACAAAACTACCGGCAATGTCGTAAATATCTATTTTTAGAAACAAACGACCGCTTACAGCGAAGGATGGGTGATCGAAGGAAGTAAATGTTTTACCGACGTTACAAATGAAAATAGGACACGAATAAATGTATCAATGAATGACCTTTGTTTTTTTTTCATTACATTATAATTTTGGCTTGTCATGCAAAGGTATATTCTTTAGAACGACCGAATTCAACATTCTAAAATAACATTCGTAGGTTTATCGGGCCATTGCGGTTTCCAATACAAAAACATTTTTTTAATATTTGATGGACACGAAATGTAACGTGCGCAACCTCATAGTCAGATGAACGTCAAAAAAAATCAACAAATATGGTTTTAAATGATGATTTGAACTATTATTTATTTCATTAAAAGTCCGCATGCTTCATTTCTTTGCCTGTAATACTTCCAATCATGGAATGAAAAGATTCAGATTTCCATGTCACAATTTTGCAAGTTGAAAATAACGAATTTTGACAATTGTTGATAGATAAAAAATTAAAAAAATATTTACTAAACCAGTTTTATTTTCAATATTACAGCAGGTATTGGTGCATAGATGGAAAATAATGAAAAATTTGAAATATCAAAATTTTAATTATAAATCGAATTTATATTAAAACATTCGAAAAGTGCCCAATACTGAAAAGTGACCCATGTATTATTTAAATTAATGAAACAAAGAAGTCTTTTGAATTTAAGCAATTTCCGTTTATTACTTCAAGGTTTATGGCTCTTGTTTCACTTTGTTACATTTTATGAACGCTCTAACCTCTAAACTCATCTGCTGATCTGTATGAAATTTATATGTGCTATTGAATTTCAGCAATTTCCGTTTATTACGTCTCGAATTATGGCTCGTTTCACTTTATTGAACCTTGTGAAAGCCAACGCTGAAAGTTATCATCCAATCTTTGTGAAATTTATGTGCATTAATTAAATCAGTGAAACCATGAATCCTATTGAATTTCAGCAATTTACAATAATTACTTCTAGAGTTATGGCCCTTGTTTCACTTTGTTCAACCTTGTTAATGCCCGATTGATGAAAGTTATCATCTGATATGTATGAAAATTACTGCCAGAGCTATGGCCCTTGATCACTTTAAAAAAATTTGTGGATGCTCTAGAGGCCAAAGAAGCCTATTGATTTTCAACAATTTCCAATAATTCTTGCCAAATTTATGGTCCTAGATCACTTTGAAAAATCTTTTGGACGCTCTAGAGGCTAAAGTTAATATCCGATTGACTTGAAATTTATAGTCTTTGAGGTCATGAGATGAAGAATCCTATTGATTTTCAGCGATTTCCAATAATTACTGCCCGAGTTTTGGTCTTTGATCACTTCAAAAAAATCTTGTGGATGCTCTAGAGGTCAAGGTCATGCGATGAAGAAGCCTAATGATTTTCAGAGAATTCTGATAATTACTGCGAAAGTTATGGGCCTTGATCATTTTGAATCTTGTGACGCTCTAGAGGCTAAAGTTATCATCCGATTGACTTCAGATTGATACAGAGTTTAAGGCCTTGAGAGGAACATGTATATTGATTTTCAATGAATTTTGATAACTTCAACAGCTAAATCCATGATATTAAATGTTTCATAACGTTAGCATGAGGTAGAACTTTATAAAAACCAAACAAATTCTAATGATTTTCTGATAATGTATTATAAATGTTTCATTACCGAAAAAAGTATAAATATGCGACAACTCTTGTTGACTGCACAGACGATTTAGCTGCTGTGGGCGTATGTTTTGTTGACTGGCAATCTATCTTTGAAATTAATATAAGGAACACGTATATAAAAATTATATGAAACAAAAGAACTGTTTATCTGCTTCCAAAACATCTTTAAATTATTACAAATGATTAAAAACGGTCTGTGTGATGTTAATTTTTAAAAAAGTTACAAATCCGGAAAAAACAACTTTCTTCTAACGCAAGCAAAGGAGCTGTGACATCTAATATAATACTTCATAATGCTATAAGCTGGTGTCAAGAATATAAAAATTCATTGTTATAAAACTGGCTTCTTGAACTTCCCAACTGCAGGGCTCTATAAAAGTGGAGTGTGCCTGCGCACCAGTGATGGGATTTTACCCGTATATTCCGGACTTGTCCGAATCTCTTTTCGAAACGCCCAAAATTGTCCGACCGGGAATATGCCCAATCGGACATCAAGACATGGTGAATAATATTCAAATTCCAAAATTAATATAGTGTACTGAGTGTAAAACTACCGTGCAACCCCATTATCGTTGATAATAGGCTGGATTG